GAGGGTGTTACGTTTTGATAGATAGTAATTCCGATTTAAATCACATCGATTAATGTTTTTTTTTTATTGAATTCACCTTAATATGTTTTAGAATGAGCAATGTTTCTTTGTATATTATAAAATAGGTTTACAAGTACCTTAGTACAAAGGCTTCATAACGCAAGTATAGTCACAGTAAGTAACCCCTTATAACAGATTTACAATCCTGTATGTTGCCACATTGTCGCTGTCTCGTGCATTGTGGCCATTGTTAACTATGACATGTACAGTTTCGTGTTAATGTACCGTGACGCAACAGATTTACAACCGGAGAGTACGCGACTGTACGCGTCTGTACGCCACTGGACGCGACTGTACGCGACACTGCATTCATCGTGTTATCTATGACACTGCTCTTATGTACTGCACTGTACACGACAGTTGGGATGAATTGCCATATACTAGTTGTAACTCGCGACTTCGTCCACGTGTAATTAAAAAAATAATAATAAAAATAGCCTATGTTACTCACAGATAAATTAACTTTCTAATGGTGAAAGAATCATTAAAATTGGTTCAGCAGTTTGAGTTATATTTCAATACAGGTAATTTATCTTTGAGGAACAGGATGCGCTTTTCATTATTTTTTGAATCAACGAGGGCGGAGCCGCAAGAAACAGCTAGTCTTTTATAATATGGGTGTAGATATCTAACGGGCGAACATCTCTATTATTTTGCTAAAGGCTTGCTAAAGATAATTTTAAATTAATTTCTGTTTAAACCCGACGAGGCCATTTGAAAAACTGAACATATGAAGCATGTTCAAAGACGTATATTGTCTAAACAAGACGCAGTAGCAAATTGCGTTTCCGTTCCGCTAACTCATTGCTCCGCGGCCTTTCATTCCTCCCCCGGCACCCCCCACCGCCCAGTCTAAGCCTCACTTAACTACTTCCTTTGAAACTGAACCCTCGTTAAATTCCCTCGAATCGTTTCTCTATTTCTATAGCAATAGGCGAGGGGATGCTCTCTCCAACTTTCTTAGAAGTCACTTTTTTCAATTTATTTCACGTCTGTAATGTAATTATGAGCTCCTTTCAAATAAACAAGTTGTAAAAAAGAGTGCGAAATTGAACGGATTAATATAAATGTAACTACATATTTTTATACAAAAGTTTGTCTATACAATAGCAAATATAACTTAGATTTTTTATAACAAAGTAAGTTGCGACCTTTAGGGATGTTTTAAACTTTTTTGTCGGAAAATAAATCTAGTGGAAAGCAATTCAAAAGCTATTAACGTCGTGACCAAAAACTTAGGAGATTGGTAATTGCCATACTTGCTTACTGGAATTAGGGGTAATTAAATTTTTTACTTAACTGAGCAACTGACAGAACGACTGCAAACAGACAGTTTTAACTGGACAGTACTAATGCTCAGTTAAAACTTAGCTAACAATGTAGCGGTCTTTAGTCTTTATTTAACTACTAGTTTTGCTCTTGACACTGTCCGCGTATAATAAAAAAAAACAAAGTGAGTAGATGTGTTCTTCCAGACTATTCTTTACATCTATACAAAATTTTCACCGAAATCCATTCAGCCGTTTAAGCTACAAACTCTAACTCCTATCATCCAAACTTTCGCATTTATTTAGTAAGATTTCTGTAAGTGGGAATGATTGCATCTTCAATGAAATTTGCAGTTGATTGTCAAGTAAAAGAAATATAAAATGCTAAAAAATACATTTTACTACTGCTTCTGGCGGTTGGGAAACCCAAAACAATAAAAGATTAGGTAGATTATATGTTAAATTATAGAAAGATATCTGTGATTTAACTGAGAAGTATTTCATTGTTTATATTATATGCATATCTTGTTGTAATACTTTTCATATATCGTAAAATAGCAGCTAAGTTCAGCACGACTTTATGACTCTTAACATTTTATTCGCAGCAGTTCTTCCTGCGGCGGACACTTTTATGGCGGGCTATTGTGCGCCGCTCGCCGCTCGCTGCAAGCCTTTTGACGTCGAGACCTCGCTCGCAGCGGGGGCATTATGTCTTTTAAAACTGACTTATGACACAGTAAGAAAAAGAGCTGGTTGTCTTCATTGACATAGTTCGACAGACTTATTGACCCGGTGGATACAAGTGATATTAAAATACAATAGATTACGGCCTCTTTTAAAACACAAAAAGGGCCAACAGATCCATTTCCTTTATTGTCATTGGACCGTGGCAGTTTTGTCATATCTTGTATTATGTGTCATTTTCTATAATCAAGTATGTTTAACACGTTTGTGAGAGAATTTGATGCGATAACTGTCGCTCTATCAACGCGCCAGATAAGTTTGTTGCTCTATAATTTAACTATTCTCGAAGAGCAAGCTAGCCAGAGAAATCTAATTTTTTTTTATATACTGAACATTTCCCAGCAAAATTTGAACTAAACAATCCGCAATTATGGTGGTACAAGTATAATAGAAACATATTTTCAACAAAGAACATTCTCTAACAAGTTTATAACATGCTTTTGTCAAAAGAAAACTTAAAAACAAACTGCGGAGCAGTGGTCGCTGTTTTCTATCAGAACCGACGCAAACCGACCACGAAGAGAAAACAAACATTTGGTTTGCAAACGAAAAAATTCACGGAAAACGGAAAGAATCAAATTACATAACTCATTATTTTAAAGTCTTTTTATTTAATTACTAATGATATTCTTCCAATCTTAACTCCAGATTTGTCTTTAGTTGAAGTTACTAATAAAAAAGTGTATAAAGTATTCGTTCCTACTCAAGTAAGTTCCCATACTTCCTTGTTCGTCAAGAACTGCTGTTATATACATCTTGATTCAAAATGAATAATTTCGAGTTAGCAAAATGAAATCGGGGAGACATAGAACTAAAAGTGTGTTTCCACGGAGCAAGATTCTGCGGGAAAAACTATGCGACACGCATAACGCACAGTGAAAATAGTGTCATACTTTACAAGTGTTTAGAAAATGCACAGTAACATACAGTTACGCATAATATAGTCACTAGACGGTAGTTAGTTTGAGTTACATGAACGTCCGCGTCGGTCTGCTCAGTGAAAACACCCCTTTACATTCGTAGTCGGTAACGAAGCGCCCTCTGTTATTTGAATAACATTTCGCAAAGCTAACGAAGCGACGCGATTCCACTCGGAGCTCGCTTCGTCTTTATTCTGGACTTCAATTTGTACATTCTTATTGCAGTTTTTGAGATGTATTTTGAGTGACATGAAAATCGATGTAATTAAACAATTGTGTAGATATTTGAATAATTATAATTATTGACTTGAAGGTAATCGGGCTGTCATGGTCCGAGATACAACGTAGAGCCCAAGACTAAAGTAAGCTGGCGGCGTACTGTGGACGCCCTCTGCCCCACTTTGGGGACACAGGAATAGAAGAGAGAGAGAGAGTAGATATTAGAAATCCTATAAAGACCCAATATTCAATATTATCTGGTAATTACTAAACTAGGAATGTATTGCAATCATTGCTGGCAATTAATTCAGTTTTAATTAGATTAATTGGCGCTATGGAGGTGTGGCATAGTGGGCAGTGGCCTGTGGGAAGTGGGCCGTGGGCAGTAGGCAGTGGACTCACGAGAGCCTTTGATCAATCGCGGTCAGATCAATCATATGTAATTGATTTTCGAATATCATTCAATTATTAGCACTGTTTGATGTAGAATTGTTTCGATACATTCATTGTTAAATAAGTAAGCGATGGAATACAACCACACACTTTACACTGCGACAAATGCATGCGACTGATTACCACAAGGTACATTCATCATACATACAGTTTTAACATATTTTTGTGTGGATTCGTCTCGCATTGTCTTTGATTATTGTCTGAAAATCGCTCACTACATTGATGTAATTTTGTATGCTTGATTTTCAACTTATCTTGTAAATAGATTTTTTTACAAATGATAATTATCTGTCCCATCCATGATTCAATCACTGATCGATCATAACGTGATATAATTAATATTAATCTAATTACAGATAAGAAAACTAAACCAGGATGTATTTTAATATATAGAAAAATGAATAGAAGATATATCTAATATAAATATTGTAGAAACCGCAACTTTTTACAAAAATTGACAAAATTTCGGATGCTTTAAAACAAGAGTTTCACTCTGGAAGCAGTAATGAATAGTTAGAAGAAGAACAGTAGTAGTTATTTAATATTATCAAACCTTGTATATACTCTGCGATTAAAATTTTAAATACATTAAAAGTATAAAACGTACACGGACAAAATGAAACCTTTCTAAATGTAATTAGTGTCCAACTAGTTACTAGATTAGTCATAGTTTTCGTGGAATAGCGCTAATTGATAAACGCATCTTCAAAATATATTTTTATCCTTATATCGCAGATATTATATCGCGAGCTATCACTTGGTTCTGAACTAGCTGTCGCCCGTGACTCCGTAAGCGAGGAATGAAAAAACATAAGTAGTCTAGGCGTTATGATAGGTCTTTAAATTTCATCTAATTTTATTCAAAGCCATTGAAACGTTCTGGTGTTAGGATATTTCAAACATTTACTTTTTCATTAATCATTCAATGCTTTCTGTTGAAAATGACATCGACGCAGATTGAGTGGAATCTCTACTGAAATGACTTATATATAGTTACCAGGAGAGACAGATAAGGGAAAGTTCGCGAGTTAAAAAACTGGAAGAGAATGATTTTGTACATCTTTTTGGTCCTAGACTAAAAGCGAGATTAAATTAACCACAAAAGAAACTAAAAACAGTTCACTTTTTGATTCGTTTACCTTTTTGTACTTTTTTATGTAGGCTGAGGTAAATATTTTATCTTGAAAAGTTTGAAGGTTCTCGTAAATATTATTGTGTGGCTGAAACTTGATAAAACTAAATCTTATCAAGCTTTTATAGTATAAAAGGCCCATTGTAAAGAACCAAAGTTGTATTCGAATTGACATTATGAAGACAGTCGTCTTTATTAGCTTGTTGTCCGTGTGCTCAGGTTTGAGGGTGGGAATGGTAGGGACAAAACCCCTAGTCAGGACTACGAAGGGTCTGATTCAAGGCTTGCGGGCAACCGATGGCGACTATTCTATGTTCCTTGGCATACCATATGCGAAGGTCAACGATACCAACCCGTTTGGGGTAAGTTTGAAAACCGATTTTTTTTTATAAAATTTTTAGTAATCTATAACTCGTTGTAAAACTATGTATGTTTAAATTTCAGCCGTCGCTGCCTTATCCCGATTTTGACGATGTATTCGAAGCCAACGACGACACAGCGATGTGTCCACAAATTGAGGAGTTTAACAATACCATATCAGGTTCCTTAGACTGCCTTCATCTCAACATCTACGTTCCTAACTCAGCCACTACGAGGAACAAGCTGCCTGTCCTTATCTGGATACACGGCGGAGGGTTCAACTTTGGCTTCGCGGGCCGCTTCCTGTACGGACCCAAGTACTTAGTAAGGAACGATATCATTGTGATTACTTTGAACTACCGCCTCGGGCCTTACGGTTTCATGTGTCTCGGCTCACGCGAGGTGCCCGGTAACCAAGGACTCAAGGACCAGTTGAGCGCGCTGCGCTGGGTTAAAGAGAACATCGATGCTTTCGGCGGCGACCCCAGCAAGGTGACGTTGTTCGGAGAGAGCGCAGGCGGCGCCGCAGTCGATCACCACCTGCTCTCGGAGCAGGAGAAGTTGTTTGATAAAGTGATAATACAGAGCGGCAGCGCTCAGAGTTCATGGGCTGTACAGAAAGCTAATACTGCTGCCCCACTCAGGATAGCGCAATTCCTTGGCCGAGACACCGCCGATGTTAATGACGCTTTGAACTTCCTGGCGACCGTAGAACCGAGGCTTGTCATCGTAGCTTCATTGCTGTCGGGCAACTTTTTCGTACCTTGCATAGAAGAAGATATCGAGGGTGTGGAGAGGTTCATATCGAGGCACCCCCTAAACAGCGTGGTGCCGAAAGCAAAGGAGGTCCTCATTCTCAATGGCTACAATAACCAGGAGTTGCTGGTTCCGTATGTAAACAAACGTGTCGAAGAGCTCAGTTTGGACTTGTTCAAAAACCAATTAGGAGCGTCGTTCGATTTGAGAAAAGATGCGAGTCTGGAGACACTGGTCCGTCAGTTTTACGTGGGGGATGAAAAAGCGGGGGAGAGTGTGCGATGGCAGCTGATGGACTTCGAAGCGGACATCACCTATAACCACCCGATGCATCGCAGCCTACACAAGTACCTGCAGAGCGAGGGCACGGTCTACCATTACATCTTCTCTTACTCCGGAGGCAGAAACTTTGTCAAGTACAGGAACAACATAACAGAGGGCGGGGCGTCGCACGCGGATGAGATCGGGTACCTCTTTGATGTCGCAATTTTCAAGGAGTCACCTTCGGAACAAGATCAGCTTGTCATTGACAGGATTACCACAATGTGGGCCAACTTTGTGAAATACGGGTAAGGGTTTTTTTTTCTCAAGTTTATTTTACATTTCAAGAAAAATGTCAATACTTTTAAAACAATACTTCTATTAGACAAAGCGTAGCTATAACTACTGCCACATTCACTAAGACAGAAGGAAATGATAATTTATTTGTAAACTTTGACAGCGATCCCACACCCGAAGTCAGCGACCTTTTGCCAGTGAAATGGCGGCCGATTACTGCGGATGTCTTCACGTACCTGGACATAGACAGGCAGTTGACAGTCGCCAGCAGACCTTTCCACAAGCGAATGGCGTTCCTCGACCTCGTTTACAAAGCATACAAACACTTACTGAAAGGATATAATGGAAGTTATACGAATAATTAATGATAATAATCTTAACACTTTGTTGTCCACTTTATTTTCTATGTTATTCTTTTTTATCATGAATAAACCAGCACTTGACCACTTGAAAATTAATACCAATTTAGATATTAATAAGGTAACTATTTCACTATTTATTCTATTCTACTCAGTGCGAACTTTGGAAATGTTCTCGAACAAAAGAACATCGAAATGGGGGAAATCACAACCAGTCCAGCGACAGTCGGCGTAAGTCTCACGGCTGTTTGCACTGCACAAACAACATCGCAATATCCGCGTCCAAGCTATCTTATTGTCAATGTCAACGAATCCATGATACATTGGAAATTTTACAACGTCCAATATATTCTACGATTTAAGATTTCTCCCGCGTTAGTCCTCGTTTAAACAGTAAGCAATGGCTAGTTTGTTCATAGAAATAAACGTGCCAATAAATTTATATAACTGCTACACTGAAGAGAATTAAATCTTGGTCACTTAAAAAAAGAAGACAACACAAACATATTGAAATTCAAGAAACTTGTATTGCACAAAAATGTCATGTTATTTACGTTTTACACAAATATCATTTATTTCATTAAACTAATATTCTTAGTTTTCGAGATTTTTAATTTTTTTAAGTGACTGGGATTTAATGCTCTTGTGAATTCCATTTTAGTATCATAAAACAAAACAATAACCTCAATAACAAAGGTCTACTTCTATCTACTATAGAGGTAGGATAACATGCATGTATTCAAAGTTCTATAGATAAGTGCTTTGTAGTAGTTATTGGAGAGCGCAGCGCTTAAACTGTGAACCACGAGCATGCTCTGTACAACTAGGAGATGCGGTGCACTCGAACTAACTCCACAATTGCATCTAAACTCTCTCACGTGTCTGCTAACTTTGATGAGATATACTATTATATTTGAGACAACTATTATATTATGACAATTTAAGAGCGGGTGCACAACTTTGAAGCATCATCACCAGCTCACTATACGTCCCCACCGAGGGGCTCGGAGCCTACCCTATATATGGTGATTAGGCCACAGCCAACCATGTTGGCCCAGTACGGATGGTTGGTTGACCTCACACATATCTTTGAATTTCTTCGCCGATATGTGCAGGCATCACGATGTTTTCCTTCACCGTAAGAACGTCGGGTAAATTATGTACATATGAAAATTCGAAAAATCGAAAATCACATTGGTACATGGCGCGATTCGAAGCCAACAACTGTAGATTACAAGTCAAGTGCTTAAACCATTGAGCCACCGACCCTTTGAATAACTATCACTAATGATGTGCGATTGTCGATTGTTTCGCAGCCTATTCAACTGTTTAGTCGTACAACTAATAATCAAGCAGTGTGCAGTCCATATAAGCTTATAGGAATCAAAGCGACAAAATAGTTGTGCGATAGTCCAAGGTACACACTTTACTCATAATAATCTTTGTAATTTAAGAAAGTCGTGTACAGTGGACACGACCTTCTTTTATTTGGATCAATAAAAAAAGTCTGAACAAGGGAAAGTTTAGTCAAGGAGATTGACAAAGAGATTACTTTGGACACTTAGTAAATTACTCGATTTTCGAATAAATTCTGCAAACTGTCAACGAGACAACGCATTAATAGTAATGTATATGTGTAACTTATTAAGCCTCGGTTCCACTGGTAGTATTTGATACGTGAATTAATTAAGCTATTGAATTTCGTGCGAATTTGCACGAGCTACGTTCCGTTCCGTTCCGTTCGGGTTGATTACAAGGGGACAATGGCCGCGCGGACAATGCTGGAAAATCATTTTATATGCAATTACAGGACGCGCTTTTGTACATGTTCCCGCTATAAGGTAACAATACTTTTATCTATACTAGCTTTCTTTCGCGACTCTGTCCGCGTGGTATAAAAAAAAAATAATTAGCCTACGTGTTCTCCCAGACTATGCTCTACATCTGTGCCAAATTTCATCCAAATCCGTTGAGCCGTTTATGCTACAAACTCTAACAAACATCCATCCATCCATCCCACCATCCAACCATCCATTCAAACTTTCACATTTATAATATTAGTAAGAAGTAAGAAGTAAGATTGTAAAGAGGAAATATTTATATTTTTGTATTTTCGTAATTATTGAAAGATCTCAAATACTGGGCCGATTTCAGAAATTTCACCATTACAAAGCTACGTTATCAGTGAATAACATAGGTTTTTAATTTCATGCGAGCGAACTCGCGAGCAACAGCTAGTATATGGATATAATAGATACTTCGTTGCATTTTAGTATCATTTACTTATTTACATTTACCTGCTTTTTATTAAAAACAAGGCTTCTTCGAATTCGCAGCTTGAATGTAAGCGAAAGCAAACTGAATCTAACACTACATAGAAGGATTGAATTCGATCTTGGATTTAAATTGCATTTGCTGCCGAAGTCTTTGACGAACAGAATGCAAACAATGAAGTCCGTTGTAGTCTTACTCGTATATACCACCTATACGAGTACTAATACTATAAAGTGGAAATATTTGCATTTTTAGTTTTCTTATATTTATTGACATTACTCCGAAACTACTCGAACGATTTCAAAAATTCTTTCACCACTAAAAAGCTACGTTATCACTGCGTAACATAGACTACCTTTTTTATTTATTTACTAGCTGTTCCCGTGCGGCTTTATCCGCATGGAATTATGAAAAAATTATTTTATTCTTTACCTTTGTCAAATTATCAATAGCAAATGTCAAAATGACATGACATGACAAACGATAGCAAACTTGCTTTCTTGATGTTGGCAGCAACTTATGGTCTCTTTCCCACATTAGGGTTTTTATCCAAAATATTTACTATTATTTTAATGTCGTCAAAATATATAGCCTAAAGCGTGACGTAAGTGTGGTACTTTTTATTAAAAAATAATTATTCAAAAATATGATTGCCGACATCTTAGTCAACAAAGAAGTGTGTGTTTACACTTTATTATAATAGTATAGATTTTTTACGTAGACGAAGTTGCGAGCAACAACTAGTGTCAAATATAGTCGAATAAAGCTCGAATTAAGTAATATTTTTGCATGGCACTGATGAGAAAGGCTTCGTTAGCGGCGATTGGAGCGCCATCTACACAATACGTGAGTTGTACAAAGTATGATTGCACAAAGACAACATTTATATAGAAAAATAGAGCAAATGAAAGCAGGTTTCTACGACTATATAGATTAGAAATTTAATATTTGGTTCTCATACTTATCTGACATTGAGTACTTAAATTGTAATCCATACTATTACAAAGAAATATTTTGATTTTTGCATGTATTGAAATAACTTAAAAACTATGGACCGATTTCAAAAATTCTTTCACCATTATAAAGCTAAGACATCTCTGTATAACATAGGCTTTTTATGTCTTATTAATTTCACATAGACGAAGTCGCGAGCAACAGCTAGTAATTTAATAATAAGCTTTTCAAATATAAATCTATCGTCTTATTAGAAAATAGAAATTGAATATTCCCGTAGAGATATTTTTCAACGTCGTCGCGAAACGAAAAATATCGTCTGAATGGAAAATGTCTGCCAGAGAAATGTTTTAGTCGCATGATTGATGGCGCGAGAAATTGATTCTCATTTGTAATAAACTTTGGGCCGTCGATGTTCACGCAGCTAAGAGAATTATTGATAAGCGTAGAACTTTACTGCCAGGATTGTATAGTTATATATTGTCATCCCTTTCTTTTTATTTGACAACTAGAAAAGTTAAAAACAAGAAAAACACCTACGTAACTCACTGGTAACGTAGCTTTAAAATGGTGTAAGAATTTGTGAAATCGGTCCATTTGTTTTGGTGTTATTTCAATACATACAAAAATCCAAATCTTTATATAATATTACTGTAGACAACAAAGACACATTATGTGTCACTGAAGATTGCAGTCTAATTTTAAGCTCAAAAAACCAACAATTAATCTCACCAGGTGTCCCTAAGTGATGTTAAGTTATGCTAGATAACGTCCTTTGATGTCCATGTAGGATTGTCTATATTTTATGACAAAACCAACCGATAGCAGAGGTCCTAGAATAGTGTTCGATACGACACAAATGACTTCCTTTAAAATAGAGAAGGACGGCCATCTTAACAATGCTTGTAAATTACTTTAAAACATATAAACCGAACTCCAAGGCGCCAACGCAAAGATATTGAACGTTCCGAAGTAACAACTAGAATAACACTGAGCTTGTTGGCGACTGAGCGCAGAGACTGCGACTGAGCGCCCGAGCCACTTCTTGCCATGTATTTTATAAAACTACACCCCACTATTCCTTCCGTTTCCTAATATTTTCTTAACAATATTGTTTTAAATAAAGATAAATAGTATTGATAAATAACACAGATTAACGAATAACTTTTAAGAACATATCAAAATAGTTAAAAGCTAACAATACACATCCTTGTTTGACTTTGTCACTGTAAAATTATAAACAGCGTTAATACACACTCTTACTGCAATACTTCAGCAATTTATTAATGTCGTTTTCTTATAACGAATCCATACTAACGGTAACTTAGTGACAATAAACTTGCAGTGCATTATTTATTGAAATTCTTCATACACTAATTATTTTAAATTATACTTCTCAGCTTCCTGAGTAGATAATTAATGCAATATTCTATGAATACTTACGTCATTACCGTTCTCTTAATTCTCGCATTAAATTACCTTTCAAGTTAATTCAATGAATTACTTCAACTGACAGCTACTTGTCGGTTGTCGGCTACTTCAATTTCCATAGCGGAGAGTTATTAAATTTCATACTAAAAAGGCTTTTTAACGTAAACTAATAACGCTTATATATGAAAAAAACAAATTTATTACTCACTACTAAAATCAGACAAAAAAATGCAAACATAACTCGATCATTTCATTATTACTCCATAAGAAACAGTCGATAACTGAGCTATAACTTCGACAATTAAAAAATTCTCTCCCAATGCTTTTCATATTTTTTCCAGCGAACAGAATTGGTTCCAATTACCGAGTGAGAGCCAATCAGCGTTCGCTTTGTCCCACTAATTGCTTCACATCGACTGAAAGCTTTTCCATTACGACGCCTCTCTTCAATCAAACCTTTGCGTCATCACACGAATGTACACGTGTCTTCTAATTTGAAACATTACGAAATGTAGGCAGGAATTTTAAGAGCTAAGTGTAGTAGAGCATAATCGAAGATCGTTTCCATAACAAAGCTTAGCTTGCTTCTGTGACAATTCATCTATACATTTTTAACATGAAATCATGCTTCATACTAATATACTCGTAAATGCGACAGTTTAGGATAGTTTATGGATGGATGTTTGTTAGAGTGTGTTGTGTATGCGCTTGTACTATACATGAAAAGGAACGGTCGGCTGCGTCCGACCGATACGTCTACGTGACGTCAATAAACCAGTCTGCATTAAGCAAGCGCTGTTATAGTCACTCCTTCACGTATCTATCAGAGTGTAAGCTAAACGGATGTTGAGGATAGTCTGGATGAACACAAACGTTACTCACTTTTTTAATTTCACATTAACAGAGTACGAGGCTTTTGCCTGTAGCACATAATTATATTAAGAGACTGAAATAATATTACTGTATAGTCGAATTCAACTGAAATGAAAAATTATATGTACAAATAGCATATCATGTGCCCGGATTTATTTTGGAAGGTTTCTTTTTTTTTTTTCATTGATTTTGCTTATTGATATCTACACTTTAAATAAATAATTGATTGAAATATTTGAGTGTAGTTAATATTAGTTGGTTAAATTTTAATTTTACAGACAAAAGGAAGGATCTACTACTATCAAAACTTGATAAAACTTATTTATCAGTAGAAAAACTAGGAAAGAAATAGGCAAGGAAGAGACAAATAAAACAACATATTACGTAGTTCGTATATTCGGTATAAGAGTATTCATAAACACATTGCAATGAATCCTCAGTCCAGTACATACAATATCAAAGTAAACAAATACTATGTATATCAATAAAATGTAAATATATATAATTATGATCTAATAAATAATGTTTTGGCACCGAGTGCGTGTGGACGCTATGTGACACACGGCTTGCGGACATCGACAGCAAATTAGACATGAAATTCATTAAAAAAGTAAATAATATGCAGGATCTCGAGGATCAGGAGACGTCTATATCCTTTAGAAGAATTTAATTATTCATAAATAATTAAAAAATTCAGTTCTCGGACTGTATTTGGAATGTATTTGTAAAATAACTTGTTTTAATGGACGACAGGATTGTAGAGTATTATTTGTACTGAACGATATCCGCGAGACGAATGCAACAGAGACGAGGTGCGGGGGCCGCGGAGCTGTGCGGGGGGCGGGGAGAGGGAGGGGACAGCTTTAGGAGTCCTACGAGGGAACAATTGGGGGTCTACAGGTAAGTAAAGTTTGTTCTAAAGGCGTGTATCCTGGGCAACTACATGGTCCTTCGGAAGCAGGACAGTGGCAGTGGCAGGGACCTACGCAGCGCCTTAACTAACTACCTCGAATTCCGCAGTGGACGGATCATTACGTTCTCCACGAGTCCAGGTACAAACAAAACTTTCTGCTTTCAAATACGATATACTCTTTTAAATTGATACTTTTTTGTCAAATCGACCGCGAGCTTGTAGACAATACAAAAATACACTACGATCTAACTTAATACCAACGGCCGTTTATATATTTTGTAAATTCTCTTTTTAACAACAAACTGACCCGCGCCCGCGACCGCGTCTCTTTATATCCATGCCACCGGTAGATTGTGAACTTCCTTAGTTTTTAAACTGACAGCTTGGCACGTGACAGACATTGCTTCATAGGATAGCCAGATAAAGTTATGAAGTTCATAGTCTCCTGGTGACATCATTTATAACAACAATAACGATGCATTAAAATCTGTCAAAGACTACAGAGGTGATAGATGACAGAGAGAAGAAGAAGAAGAAATGGAAAAAGAAAACTACGACAGAAAGATGGTTACATAACATCAGATAAAATATTTCTTAGAATACTAATGTTTGCAAAAACTGCTGTAGCAAATCTTTTCCATACAAAACTCGCCCGAACTAAACGAGCATCTAAAATTGACATCGAAATTTACATTTTTCGTTTTAAGCTATGATACACATCGTATTAGTGAATCACGTTTTATATAATTAGTAACCACATCTACAAATACATCGATATTCCCTTCCAGGGAACCTTCAGCTCACGATATCAAGATACATTCTAAATTACAATTTCGAATTGGTGTTTACTTTACTTTCACAATATACCAAAATATTCAAAAACAATACATCGATATTTTATTCTTTAATATAAGAAAAAAAATCTATTCATACAATAACAATATTTGGCACATTTATTACCTGTTTCAAATATACACTAAGAAGTCAACCAACGACATTAAATTGAGTATAACTCATTAACAAATCAAAAGAAACAGGGAATCGAAAAAGAGGTTACAATGTCGGTATTCAAAATTGTCACGGATCACAAACAAGAAGGCAATGAGATTATCTATGGATGGCTACACAAGTAGAAGATAACCAAAGAAAGTAATGATGGATTGTGTGAAAGAGGATATGGTTAAAAGGGAGTTATTTTAGATAAAGCGGCTGATATAGATGTATATACTGTGCTGACACCAGGAAGGAAAAGGGTCAGGTTAATGATATTATAAAACGTTACCCAGACATTAAAACCTCTTAATCGTGCATTTAAAGTAAAGGAGTATAGAAATAATGAAATGGACGAAGTTGATACGCTACAAGTATAAGAGAGATAGTTCACTACTTACAATAACAGATACGATACAGCAGCACTACGGGGACTAGAGATAGATATAGACATCGCACATTAACTACGATACACTACGCGCTTCCACTCGCCTTTACTCGCCTTTACTCGCCTCCACTTGCACTTACACAATAACCTTATTTAGATAAGTAACCAAATATGTACTATCAAAATTATTAAAAAAATAAATTGGACAAAGTTTAAGAAAATATATAGACTAAATTCAGGATGTGGAATTCCTTGGTGTCTTTTAAATGAAACATAGAAGGTAAAAACGTATACATCGATAAAATGATTCTGTGAAACGACCAATGGTTTTGATACTTAAATGTGTGTGAGGGGAGGGAGTGAGGGGGCGCCCGCGGGCGGCAGGAGAGGCAGGAGCGGCAGCAGCGCCA